GTGTCCGAGGCCAGGTTGAACGGAGCTTGGGCAACATGGTCTAGGGTGAAGTTTCCGTGCCCATGCCAGGGGGAAACTGGATGATTTTAAGGTCCTTTCCAACCCAAACATTCTATGATGCTATGATTCTATCCTGATGAGAACTCTGAAACTGCTGTATGTTGGAAATGGATGTGTTTGTGTTTCTGTACTTAGACACCATAGATAAAATACCTGTATTTGTAATTTTACCAAAATTATGGGATGCCACTTTAACTACTCAGCTCCTGTCAGAACTCACCCATTTCTTCAGCCGAACTACACGTGGTATCAAGATTTACTGTCCACTCCTACTGGATTGAACCTCACATCGGTGAAAAAACTGCTGCAACACGATGACCTGAATCAACTGCTAAAACAAAGCTGGATTAGGGGCAAAGGACTCCGGTTATCATCCATCATGACACAGAAAGGATACACCATGTCCTAGAAAGAGGGATGGAAAACACGCGAGGGCAACATTCTGAGCGGTCCTTCTGGAAGTAAATGCAAAGCATTAACTATACGAGAAAAACAGCAGCCTTCTTTATCAGTACAGATTTTATTTCAATTTAATAGCCAGCTTCATCCTATAAAAACCCCCTTTGATTAACTTGTACAGAATTCAAGAAGACCTGCAGGAGTCCTTCACAGGGCCCTGAAGTACAGCAAGCTTTTACAGCAAGGCTGATTACACAGCTAAGGCAAGCATCTCTCTCGAGTAACATCTGTGCATAGAGGACAGCAGTGAAAAGCATTCACAACTGCAAATTTTGACCAAATATGTTTTCAATTTACTACAGTATGAGGAGAAAGAAAAACCGCAAGTCGAACAGAAAAGAAAAGATGAGTAGCTTGGCCTTGAAATCTCCAGCCGGCAGCTGTAAAGTAGCCCAGTGCGTCCCAGAGTGAATCATCACTTGACTGCAGCTTGCAGGCACATCACCCTTCACTGAAGTACTTTAAATAGCAGTCTGTCTTTAAATGGAATTGTGCAAATTCATTGTATGATCCGTCACTGTGCTTCCCAGCTCCCTCTGCACGAAGATGAGCCCCTCACACTGCCTGACCCATTGCCATGGCTCGGGCCAGCTGCCTGCACACTCTGCTTGGGGGTATCACAACCACCAGCTCCTGCCCTTGCATCTGGCCAGCCCTGACACTGTCCCCAGGCGCTGGGAGGCAGCTCAGCTTCACGCTACACCAAAAAGCCCGTTGGCAGTTTAAAACCCCAGCACCAGGGAAGGTGGATGCTCAGCGGCAGGAGCTCATCCCCTCCTTCCCCTGGGACTCCTGCACAGGTTGCACAGCAGCGCAGGACGGTCCCTGGTGGGGGCTGCAGCAGGTCCTCGCTCAAGGCACTCTGTGGAGCACGTCGAGGCTGGCAAAGGAGCCAACTGCTTGATAACCCGCACACTCCTAGAGACCTCAGCTCCCCCCTGCTCAGCCCCCTCCTGAGAGCCACATGCAGCCCTCTGGGAGCATTGCTGGCGCAGCAGCCGCTTGGCTCCTTTGCCCATAATGCATCTAAAGACACAGTGTTCTACTTCAGCCAGTGCTGCACAAGGTGAGAACGCCAAAAGCATGGCTGCTTTCTATTAGCTCCTGTGCATCTATAGTCTGCAGCATGAGAACCATCGCATCCACACGGATGGCCTCGAACGTCTGCACACGTAACCACCTAGTGAATTTTACATAGCCAGGGCAACTTCCACGCACATGAAGTAAAGCACTTACCTAAACACCAGTACAGTTTCAGCAGCAAATGCCAAGCTATCCTTGACTTGAGAGGGAATCTGGAATTCTGCAGCTAGACAGGCTCATCCAAGACCCTCCTTGATTTCTTTCCAAGTAAGTAACACTGCTTGCCTCAGAAGACCTGACTCCCATGCAGGAACTGAAGATGGAATTCAAACTTCATGTGCTGCTTGCATGCACTGCACACATGTGTTTGTGGAGAGCTTGGTATTTGCTTCTGGAAGAAACACCTTCCAAGAAAAAGAACATGTTCCAGCCTATGCACTTGCCAATTGCATGACTAACCTGACTTTTACTTTTTAAATTAACAACTAGCACTAGTAAAGGAACAGATTATATTCTACTCTTTGCTGGCAGGTCCTTTAACTAACTAGACTTATTTCATTCTCTCCTCCCAGCCCTAACCCTGAGTTAACCCTGCATAGCTCATCCCAGATCGTTTTTTTCCCTGAGAGGCATCCTTATCTTGAGCAACCTCAGAAAGGGAAGAAACAGCCATAACCTTTAATAAACTATCCTAGTCCATATGGTCTTCAAGGCTCAAAAAAGCCACTTGGTTAAGGAACTGGGAGGACCATGTCCTGCTGCACAGCCAGTGTGCTCCTGAGGCAGGTTCCTCAGTCCAAAGGAGCATCCCTGGACGAGTCAGTACAGCAGATTCTCACCTTCAGATCAAATGAGGCACTGATAACTTCTGTAGGTTTCAGTAACAGCCCACAACAATTTGTAACCTGTTATTCAAAGGGTAGCATCGTGGATAATCTAATCTAAACAGAATCTGCTCAGCAGCAATAAGGCCTTTCTGCTTCAGGATGAGATATGACTGGTGTGACTACTCTGAACACTCATGGTTTTTTGTGTAAAACAGAATACCGTTCTTCTAATGAGGTTTCAAAGTTGGCTTCAAGGCAAAGATTTAAAACCCCATTTACATTTCAGATGTATTTTTTTTCCTAGTCCCTTAAAAAGGAGCTGCTATAGGAGGGAAGCAACAAGCGGGGACAGGATCACTTCATTTCAAACATTATAAATTAGAGCTGCTTTGCTGGAGAAAAACAACCACCTGTTGTCAACTTAAACACAAGGCAAGGCAGGGAATAAACAACAGAATGCAATTAAAGCCCTCCCCAAGATGAGGGCAGCACAACAGCAGCTCGCTGTGTAAGCAGGGAAGCCAAGCCTCACCCTTAGCCAATGCTGTGGGAAATGCACTCGGCTCAATCACTGTTTTCTCCCTACCAAGAGTGCCTGTGGAGATCAGATCGAGCAGACACAAGAGCTGGTGGGGAAGGGGCAAGGGAGAAATCTAAATAAGCTGTTCTGCTGGGTGTCATTGTGTTTACATGGCATTCATCTCACTGCTCTACACTGCAGTGATCAGGCTATTAAGTGTTGATAATATCTCTGGTGCTGATCTTGGGGCACATCTGCAGGTCTGCACCGAAAACTCCTTCGGGAGCAGCTGTAGTTGTGTCAGTAACAGCCAGACCAGCTTTAATGTGCCTGGTGGAGGCACCATCCGCAGTGTAAACCCAGCAACTGGATCAACATCTGACCAGATGGGTCAGCATAAATACTAACCAAAGAGCTTGTGCTGACCTGCAGCATGGCTGCAGTGTTGTCCCTGTAGCCTGTCTGACTTCACTGGGGTGTTTCAAGATGAGCTGCACTCACACCGGTGACGGCCACGAAGACATGTCTGTCCTTGGGATGAGACCTAACATACTGTGGCTGCCTCCTGGGGTTGGCTCATGTCTCAACCAGTGCCATAGGTAAAAACGTTTTATCAGAACAGTAAAATCAGGGTCCCCTGAGCCCTTTTTCATCTCTTAAGACATTTCCCACAAATACTCTTTGGGTATTTTATTTGAAAATTTGTCTGTGTGCCCAATTCTTCCTATGCACTAAATGCTCATTACTGCATTGGGCAAGTGTTGTCCTGGCAAGAAATACACTTATTACAAGACGACCTGCTTTGGAGAAAATCAGAGTAGTTTGGGTTGGAAGGGACCTTCACAGGTCATCTAGTCCAATCCCTCTGCAATAAGCAGGGATATCTTCAAGTAGATCAGGTTGCCCAGAACCACATCCAGCCTCACCTTGAATGACGATATTTTCATAGCATGAATGAAGTTTAAAGCTGGAAGACAATTTTCAGTCTGACCATTTGGAGAAAACCATTTCAAATGACTGCGTTTCACCTGCGATCCTCCAACGCATAATAACTTGTGATGTAGCTGCAAATTCTACTGAGGTGACATTTGATTTGGTCTGGAAATCTCTTTGTTCAGTCAGTGAATGAAAAGCCACAAAGCATCTTTCTCACCAAGTACAGGAACATGGTTTCCCTAAGCTCCTTATGCTCTTGAGCAGGTAACTGAAGAACTATCCACTGAAAAGGGGATTTCTCACAGCCAGTTCAAAACTAGTGCACCTTCCAGCTAGAAGATGAAGGCCATTTGTACTGAGGTAGGCAACAGCAAGCTCAGAAATTCCAAGCTTCTTCGCTTGCAGCCTTGACTCCCTGCCATCTCCCTTCAGAATTTCAGACTTAACAATGGCTTCTGCAAATTCTTCAGGTTTCAACTCACAGAACAAAAACACAACCTCATCAAATGACACTGTGAACAACCTCAGGCTCTTCAAGCAGGCATGTTTCTGGCCACAAAACAGTCCCGTGTCATGGCACTGAATTTCCTGCACAGTATCTTGGATCATTTCAGTTTCTTCAATACAAAGACTACAAAACACTTCACTGGAAAAGCTAAATACATCTGAAAAATCTTCTTGGTACTGCTTCAGATCAGCCATTCCAGTCCCCGGGACCCTATGCGGGCTGGGCACCAGCCTGCAGCAGCTCCAGCACATTCCAACCACAGCCAGCAGTTGAGTGCAAACATGAGCAGTGGAGGCTGGGGTGAGGCATGACAAGGAGAATTAAAAGACACAAGTATGAGGCATACGCAGAGGTGACTGGCACTGATACACTTCGTAGGTGCCAGTGCCCGCCTGAGCTCAGGCAGTGCATCTGCACAAAACAGACAATCCTGAGGTGGAAATCCATTTCTTAGTAAGGCTTTGAGTGCATTTGTTTCTTTTTAAGTGCCTTTTTTAAGTTACTTATCACAAAAGACAGGCTAGCATTCTTTAAACAGTTGTGATCCTTCATTCCAGTATAAAACACATATGCAAACATGGCTTAAGACCCATGATCACTTAGGATGTAATTTTAAAGTCTGTATTAAAAATATTTTTTTATCCCAATGATAAATATTTTAAAATAAGCATTTACAAAAATAAATAGTCCATTCCCATAAGGAAGGACATATATAACTGAAATTCTGAATACATCTTGAGGCAACGCAATTACCAATGAAGCTAGTTAATAAAATCTTTGGTATGAGAGCACAGTACATTAATATTCATGCACCGTTGTCTTCCCTTGGCAGGCATACTGTACAGTCAAGCGAAGAGGCAGCTTTTCCTTAAGTTCTTGATCTGTCTTCCAAATACAACATACAAATATTTCTAACGTGTCTTCCTATGATAATAGGAGAAAAGCCCAAGATTCTCCTGGCTCTTGCTACGACTTTCGTATCTAAAACAGAATGAAGATGGGAGGAAAAAGAGAAAGTGAGCACACGTGAGTTTCATTCCAGCTCATCAGCAGCATCTACAGGAAATAAAAATCAAATTTAAAAAGTACTCTAGAGGAAAGCCCATTTCCTTCAATACTGTACACATCAACTGCAAAGACAGGGTAACGATGAATCTGTTCATCTGTTCATCTGTCTGACCTTGCATCACTGCAAGGTCAGACACACGAAGAGGAGATTGCTGAGCTGGTGAACGGGCAGCTTTACACTGACCATGGCACCAGAGAGCATCACATACAGGTCTGAAGGCCCTGTTACACATGGGGCTTTGAGATACTGCATAGGCACAGGAAAGAACTTCAAAAACTGGACAAAAGGAAGCCTTGGAATAAAACACCTGGAGAGACTGCTCAGTGATTTTAGCTAAAATAAAGAGAGAGCTGACCTGAGGCACAAAGACCTCCACAGGAAGGAAATACGGAACACTAGCTACGAACAAGGGGGTAAGGGGCTCTGCAGCCTGGCAGGGAAAGTCGTATCAAAAGTGGAAGGCTGGAGCTGAAACCATTCAGCCTGAGAAAGAGACACCCACTTCTAACACTATGGACAACTCACTGGGATCAAGGGAAGTGTTCAAAAACCATGCAGATGAGGCCCTCAGTGATAGGGTGTAGAGGTGGTCTTGGCAGTGCTGGGGTAAAGGTTGAACTTGATGGTCTTTTCCAAACCAGCTGATTCTAGGAAGTGATGGTTTCTCATTTTTTGTGGGTTTCGGTTTTTTTTTTTGGTGTGAGTCCCTGACTGGTTTTTGGAAAATGCTCCTATTAAATGCTGGTGACTGAACCTGATGAAGCGAAGTGATGGCAGCTAAGGAAACGCACAGGTTAGCCTCAAAGGTCTAATGGTTCCCTTTTAGCCTTAAACCCTGACTCCATGGACAGTCCAGCTGAGGGACTCTGATCTGTGAATGAAGGGTAACACAGTTCAGTCTCCCACATCACCTGGAAGCTCCAACAAGCTCCCAGTGGATGTGGAAGCCAGAAGGCTTGAGTCTGTCTCATAGGATCACAGAATCATAGAATGGTTTGGGTTTGAAAGCACCTCAACTGGTGCTACTGCAGCCTGCAGCTCTGGGAGAAAACCAGTAAAGAACAATGTCCACCTGTAACTGTTGCGACCTGGGTATGAGGAGCAGAAGGCACCAAAGCAAAATGGAGTTTGGATTCTGCCCCCCACCTACTGTGTGGAGACTGGCACTTCTCCCAGCACCATGCAGAGAAGTGACACCTCTAGAATCAGCTGCTCTCTTCCCCTGGATCCCTCCCACTAGCCTTGACCCATTGCTTCACTGACAGTGATCCATGTGGAAGCATCAACACACTTTCTGCTATGAGCCACCACTCTCACAGCAATGCTGGGTGAGAAGGTAGGACTGTGAGGAGAAGCCCTGCTGCTGTGAGGAGGCAGGTGACTTTCAGCTGACAGGGAGAGCTAATGCCCCAAGCCAGGCACAGAGGCAATGGCTGTAGCTGCTCCAGCTCAGCAAACTGAGCCAGTGTCCTCCAGCCCCGTGAGTGGTCATGCTCCAACCAGCTCCCAGGAGATGTGGAAGCCAGAAAGTTTGGGTCTGTCTCATACAATCACAGAATTATAGAATGGTTTGGGTTTGAAAGGACCTTAAGACCAACCAGTTCTGACCTCCTACCATGGGCAGGGACACCTCACCCTAGACCATGTCACCCAACCTGGCCTTTAACACTGCCAGGGATGGAGCATTTACCACTTACTTAGGCACCCTGTTCCAGCACCTCACCACCCTCACAGTAAAGAAATTCTTCCTTATATCTAACCTGAATTTCCCGTTTCAGTTTGAACTGATCACACTGTCCTATCATTACAGTCCCCGATGAAGAGCCCCTCCCCAGCATCCTTGTAGCTTCCTTCAGACACTGGAAGCTGCTCTGAGGTCTCCACACAGCCTTCTCTTCTCCAGGCTGAACAGCCCCAGTGTTCTCTGCCTGTCTTCATATGGGAGGTGCTGCAGGCCCCTGGTCATCCTTGTGCCCTCCCCTGGACTTGCTCCAACAGCTCCATGTATGCTCATGACAGCTGGGAATCATGACCCACTGCTATAGCAACAGGAGTTCACGTGACTACTGTCTTTAAAAAGAGCCCCTGTTTGTGGCATCCTCAAACTATCCATTATTTATATCTCAGCTTGCCTGAAGCACAATTTGTATCCTAACCTCATTAATGAATGATGACACTTTGACCCACTCTAAGACATGTCAGACCAAGAGGCATCCTGCTCTCCTGGCCCACACTGGAGTAAGGCAATCCCAATGAAAACCACTGGAGCAGGTTACCTGAGTTACAGCAATACCAGAACAACGCAAATCCCGCAGCAACGCTAAAGCAAGCGAGGAAAAATACCGGACCTAAAGGAAACGAAAAAGGAAACACACTGAGACACAAGAGAGCAGTGGAAGTTTAGCTCAGCTCCTAAATCATCAATGGCTATTAATATACACAATTAAGTGTATTCAAATGAAGCTAGCACATTCACCATTATGTATGTTCTGTAGCTAGTGTACTATGAAGCACATTTACTACACTGTAATCAATTTTACTAGTTACTTTGACACCACTCACTGTTTGTTCCACTTCATCTAGCTATATGCTCTGAAATGTAAGTGAAAGCTTCCTTAGAGGTTTTCTCACTCATAAACTTTGTGCAGAAATCTCTTTAAACTCTACAACAAAATACTAACCATACAGCTGGGACCTCACCACACAGTGTAGTGATTCACTCTATGAATAGTCCCCTCCCCGGCAAATGCACTGCCTGTGGGCACAAGCACATCACAGGAGACTGAAGTCCCCTAGAAGCAGGTTCTTAGGGTCTTGGTTTTGTCCTACATATGTATTACAAATTCCACTTTCATGCCAAGAACAAATATTATTGTTCCTGCTTACAGTTCTCTGGCCCCTGAAATGCAGAGCCACACACACACCTAAGACAAATCTCCCACGGGAAATGTTTCCTTCATGTGCTTGCCTGGAATTACATGCAGTTTAACACTGATGTTCATTACTGATGTTTCTAATTTCATAATTCTCCACAGAAAAAAAATCATAAAGACTTATAACTGCTTCTTTATTATTTACTATTCCATTTGTATTTACTTCTTCACTATGAATATAGCTACAACTGAACCGAACCTGACAACTTAAGCGCAAATGTACTGCAGACTGACAAATTAGTGGAGCTGACTATATGGTCAAAGTCACAGAGGAAACCGTAAAGGAGCAAAGATGTAGCTGTTCCTTTGGATGTCATCTCCCAACGAGGGTGGCTACCAGCCAGATGACCTCTTTCATAGGCATAAGTAAAATCAGAAATGATCTCATTTTCTTATTCTCAAGTACTTTCTCTGTTCCTCCTGTAATGTTATGTTGCAGTAAGCAAGAGCAATGTGAAAAATCTGAATAGCAGTTTGGTTCAATATTCAAAGCAGCAACAACACAGGCAAAAAATATAGAATCACAGAATAGTTAGGGTTGGAAAGGACCTCAAGATCATCAAGTTCCAACCCCCCTGCCATGGGCAGGGACACCTCGCACTAAACCATATCTGGTTTTTTGCCCCTTTTTTTCAGTTTTATCTTGGGGAAAACAGAAAAAAAGTGCACAGAAGGTGCTTTTAGTCTCTCATAATTGTATCCAAATTACTAAATAAACACCAATTAAACGTCAATGACAAAATTGTTCACTATACATTTTGACACTTCCTTTCAGAAGTTCAATTCCTTTTCAAAATATTTTTCAGTAAATAAAATATATTCCTCTACAATCTGCGCATTGAACAGAAGAAAGGGGAAAAAATAACGTTTTCCTAAGGAAAATATACTTATGTTCACCCTTGCTCATCTTCCTTTCTATCTTTGTTTTCAAATGATTTTTACTTATACTGAAAGCTTAAAAAAATTAAAAACGTTTAAAGTTACATAAAAAAATTACAGATGGCCTTATGCAAAATGTTAGCAGCAGCAGCAGCTGAATAGACCTTGATGTTCAAGTCTTGAAGGAATCATAGAAAATCATGAGTTCAGCTATAACAGTAAATATTGATTAACCTCTACAGTCTCCTGAATTCCCTGGCATTGGTTTCCACAACTGCAGTTCAGTACATTTTCCTCCATTACTTCCACTTAACGTATAACAGTAAAGACATCATAAAACAAACAGTTACATGAAATGCAAATTACATGATAAAATAAATTGCATCATAATCTGAAAAGCCATTCCATCCGGCGACACTGTTTGCATTTATTTACCCCTGTCATTTAGCATATATTTCTCCTTGTCAGTGTCTATCTCTGTGGAATCTGTGGTTTCTAGAAATAAAAGCAACACATGAAAAGTTAGTACTTGGCTCAAGCAAACAAACATAATCAGTACACGCAAAACAGTGCAAAACAACGCATTTCAGAAAAATACCCAATTTGGACATAAAATGTAAGCCCCTTCAATGGCCGATCATCGCTAAAGTTAAATCTGGATATACGCTGTTCAAAAGACACAGGCATACAGTCATTTGAATACAACTATAAAAAGCTGCAGCAACACCTCGGATCTGGTTAAGCACTAACCACGTAAGTAACATTACACTTGTTTCCCAAATGAGGAAAATAGGAGCCAATCCTTCCAGAATGACAGGCAATTTCACTGTAACAAATACAAATGATTTGTTAATATGTGCTACTCTGAAAACACCCTTGTAATTTAATGCATTGCCATTCTTTGTGTTCTTGAGTAAATCTCTGGGCATTGATGTATCTGGCAGATAAAGCACTTGAAACAAAATGCTTGGTGCAGATTATTGATCTAAATTCTGGGTTTGGCTAAAGACACGTTCAGCATCTTTGAAAGTCTGCAGGCTCTAGGTGCAGATAATCTGGCACAAATGATTTTTGCCTCTATCTTTGTGCAAATTCTAGTAGAAAAGGAGGTTGACCTTAAGGTGTTCAGTAGTTAGCAGCAACGAAGGAGTTTCTGCTTTGGGCAGAAAGACGTGCAGCTCTTTTAGAGGTGCCTTTGCCATATAGATGTGGAAACAACATTACCTGCAGAATGTGTGCAACACAGAAGAACACTGCTGTCCCCATAAATAGTAGAGAATGATTTTCCTTTAATGCATCATGACTCTGCACAACAACTTTTTGAGCCAAGCCTCTTTGTGGTCAATAGGGTTAAAAAAAAAAAAAAAAGGTAGGAAGTGAGAGCTGCAAATCTGGCAGTCAACAGGGCAGAATTTGAGACTGTTTGGTGTCAACTGATCTTCTTCTTTTACACGACAATCTGGAGATAGGAAAGGAGCCTTGGAAAACCACCTTGAACACCAAGTCAGCACAGGTGACCTGCTGCCAGCCAACACTGGTGGTGAACCTCTACCCCCCATGATAAACAAGCTCCCTCAGGGGATGAGAGACATGGTGTTCAAGCAGGACAGAAGCAGCTGAAGCAACTTTGCTGCAGGGGTTGAGACTCACTGAAGGGGAAAGAATTGATGCAAAGCCTCCACAGCACACCTGAGATCAATGGCAAGCCTACACAGCCTACCCGTTTTGAGGGATGGCCTCCCTATGTACTTCAGCTAAGAAATCTTCACACTTCACAGCACAGCCAAATCTCTGCACTTTTGTAGGCTATCGCTGTGAGGCTAACCTTTCTAGTCTATGTCAGCATTGAGAGAAATAAAAACACTTTCTGAGTCACTCAGATGATCCTGTTTGGCTCCAGCAGCGTGGAAGCTGCCCATGCCATGGGCCTTACCCACCCTCTAGTGGAATTCTGAGAGATTACTCAACACTTCACTTGCACTACATTAAACTGAAGGCAAAGAAATTTTGTTCTAGCACAAATTTGAAGGTTGTTTTAAAAAAAGTAAAAATAAATCCAACACCTAAAGGGGCTGCAGGAAGCCTGGAGAGGGGCTTGGGACAAGGGCCTGTAGGGACAGGCCAAGGGGAATGGCTTAAACCTGCCCGAGGGGAGACCTGAGCTGAGCTCTTAGGCAGAAGCTCTTCCCTGTGAAGGTGCTGAGGCGCTGGCACAGGGTACCCAGAGAAGCTGTGGCTGCCCCATCCCTGGCAGTGTTCAAGGCCAGGTTGGACACAGGGGCTTGGAGCAAGCTGCTCCAGTGGAAGGGGTCCCTGCCCGTGGCAGGGGGTTGGAGCTGGAGGAGCTTTAAGGGCCCTTCCAACTCAAACCAGTCTGTGATTCTATGACCTTTAAAAGGATTTTCTCTGAAAGATCTATTTCATATATATACCTGCATGTAACTTATTACAGAACTCTGTCCTGGCCAAAATTGATTCAGAGAAAACTCCAGGAACATCATCAGTGCCCTCACCAATAATTTTCCCAGGTTTCATAAAGCTGCTTATTTCACTTCAATTTGCATTTAGAACAAAGTTCCCATGTTAGGGATTCCCTTTTTTCTTCACACTTGCAAACTCTAGTGTCAATTTTATAGCAATTCTGTGCTACATTTGACTAATAACTGCTCCTACGAAAAACAAAGAAGTGACATAAAAATTGTACATTAGAGGTCTGAGGACAATGCATTCAATATTCAAATTGTTCAAGTTCACTTAAATGAGAAATAGCACCTCATATTAAAATGACAGCTTTTCCTGAAGAATAAAAGTGTTTGTAATCTCAGCTTAAAATGCTGCACATTTATTGACCATTCAACCCAGAATGCAGACATCTGTTTTAGTTACAAACATATTAACACAATCACTTCATGATTTCCTCTCAGGTCAGTATGAGGACACTGCAGAATCTCAGCACGTATTTTCGCTCCGTTATTTAAATAATTCTTATTGTTCTGAGGATGTTGACATAAGGGAGTGTAACAACATGCAGATCCACATGGTCACAGCTGTGCTATTTCTAGTACTCAGCTGAATTCAGACCATCTAATGGGATGTAGTCAGGCATTGGCTACTGCATACCAGTATGTTAATACACATTTTCAGAAATGGCTTGTAGAAGGTATTACTTAATATTTAACACAGCTTAAACTCTTACACAATCAACACACTCCTGAGTTCCAGTCTTAGTGACTACACTGAGATTGCTAAGTTGCTTTTAATTAATAAAGGCTGCCTGCTGCCTTCTAGTCAGGCTGGCAGACAAACTCGTTGCTCTTGAGCTCTACCTGAGTAAAAATAATAGATCCAAGACTATTTTATTTAAGAGCCTGCTCCCTCAAAGGGCATGACTTCTGCAAGGTGAGTATCAGACCAAAGGCATTGTCTCAAAGCTGCTGCAAGACTGAATCAACTGGGATTCATGTTCATTTGGGAGTCTGAGACAGAGATGGGCCCAACTTTCCTAGTTCAAGAAAGTTCACGTATGGATCTGGAGACCTGAGTAACTTTGCAGCTTCCCTGTGCAGGCAGGACAATGGTGCAGTCTTCCACTGGTACGTATCTGTGCTGAGTAGAAACAAACCTCTTCCTTCAAAATGAAAGGCGAAAAGAAGCTAGACAATGTGTATCTTCAAAGGTAAGTACAATTTACATGTCATTTTCACCCCAGAAACAAAAGAGGTCTAACCTATAGACTTCTGGTGTAAAGATTTGAATCTCAATGGAGTTTTTGACCCACATGTCTGAAATAGCCCCTGCACCTAACTGTGAAGTTTCTTACAACTAGAAATCAAGTGATTGGTGAAGTATTACAGCTGTTAGATACCTTATAAGGATTTCTTAAACTGCAGTCCCTTTGCAGCTTTATTAACTGAAATGTGGGAGCTCTCCCTCAAGCTCCTTAAGTCACTTCAGTATGCAAGATGCCTGAAAGCATTTCCCATCCATTTGGAACGTTGTGCTTTTCTCCAGTCCATTAGGCTGGAGTGGTGGGAAGCAAAACCAAACCAACCACGAAACACCAACACATAGCAAGCATTATCCCTGGCACGTCAGGCTTGATACCTTCCATTGAAGAAAAGCTCCTTTGCAGTACAGAATCAAATTTGTTTGAGCCTCAGTCCTCCTGAAGCTCACAGATACATAGATTGTTGGGGGGGGGGGGGTGCTGTTTATGGACATCACTTGGATGTCAGCTGCACAGACCAAATCCTAAATGCCTAACATCACAGTTCATCATGACAAGGGCCTATGACTGTTTGTTCCACTTTAAACTAGATACAACTAGGAGATATATGGATGGAGGGAAAGCCAAGCTTCTGGGCCACCGGAGTTTTGGGCTTAATAAATTTGAGTTTTGTAATCTTCTCATGTCAGAATACACACATAAGAAGTAAACAAGCCATTAAGAAGCAACGGCTATAAAAAGAGAAATTGTGCCTCATCAGAGTTACATTTCTGTCTTACGTGTTGCACTTAAACTCTTTTAAAGACATCTTTCATATTTCAAAACAATCAAAGCATTTGGATCTGCCCACACTAGTCAACAAATAAGAACTATGCAGTCAAATCCCCTTACAGCTTTTGGAAAATTCCAGTCGGAAGAAATTAAGGTATACCCAAAAAAATTCTTAAATAACCTAGATAGGTTCTGACAAAATTCTGACAAAAACCTAGATAGGTTATTTAAATAACCTCAACCTCATCTGAAATGAGGTTTTGTAGTACACCGATGAGGAAATCCACAACTCCATCAACTTATAAATCAACTTACTCAAGATTTTCCTGCTTGGTAGGTCATCATACAGCTGTTCAGCATTGATCTGTAGAGCCCTGTAAAACTCTTGGCAGTGTCTCTCTCCTTTCTTTTGAAGGTGCTTTATGAGATCTGAAAGTCTGGTATGGAGTGATGCCTTTGGATTCCTGAACTGTAAGAGAAAAGCACTCATAAGAAGAGAGATGACAACACATCATTTTACAGTACACCAGGGAGTGCATATAGAGAGTTTATTTTATGTTTTGCTAAAAAAAACGAGTCAAAAAGTGAGGGGAACCTAAAGAGGACATACATGTAGAATCACAGAATCACAGAATAGTTAGGGTTGGAAAGAACCTTAAGATCACCAAGTTCCAACCCCCCTGTCATGGGCAGGGACACCTCTCTCTAAACCATATCACCCAAGGCCTCGTCCAACCTGGTCTTGAACTCGTCCAACCTGGTCTTGCACAGCAGTCTTCAGGACACTGAGGTCCATTTGGTTAGCACTGTCTGATGGAGAGCCTCTGCCCTCCTTCATTCCTTCTTCTGTCCTGATAAAGTGAGTTACTCTCTATTTGAATGTGTTTTCCCTAACTATGCTGCTCGCTATTCCATAGTTTGATTCTGACAGCTGTTGATAGAAAACATTAACAAATCTCACAATAAAGTTTTCTAGTTTCAAATTTTCCCTTATTTGCCTAGTAGTGATCATCTAGAAAGGTAGTTTTATACTGCTTGCATTTGTCCTAATATGTGTACATTATTCCAATATTGTACGTTTCATTGCTTCCAGCACAATAAATGCTGCAACGTCTACAAATTCTCAATACTCAGGCAACATGGCAAGCAGCTGCAGAAGAAAGTACCCTTTTAATGTAGCCCAAAATGTGATATTAGGAGACCTTACAATGAGAAAGAAAACATTTGCCTTACATACATCAAATCAATTTCAGGTTATCTGGAAAATGACCAAAGCCATTCTCAGCAAAGCACTGTATTTCAGACCAGTACAGTAGATAACCTTTGTAGTATATTTATGATCAACTCCTGCTCTATGGGGACAGAAATGCAAGATACCTTATATACAATACTCCTTATCCTGACAAAATTCCAAAACTTCCACAAGGTGTACTGGATACAGCTGAGATTGTAAGCTTCCTAAACACTAAACACAGCTGACAGAAACTTTCCTGGACCTCTGAGAAAGCAATTCATTTCTGTCTGCTAAATGCAGAAGTCCCAAACTGCATGTCACGGATTTATCTGTTTATGCATTATTTTTTTTAAGCTCTCTAGGAAATGAGATGATCTCTCACTGTGCATGTCACATTGTTTATCTTAACTGAGTGGCTAGACTGGCTCAGCTGATGATCTAGCACTGATTTGCACCACCGGAACACTACTCATCCTCGTGGATTTTGATTATGACAAAGCCTGACCTATGTCTCCTAGAGTTACAATACAGTTATGCCAAAACCCTGAGTCTTGTGCAGAGAGTGAAGGGAGGGTGGCCTTTCTCCATACATAGTGGCACCACTGGGAGGTGTTACTAATTCCGTCCATGTCCCACAACTCTCACACTTACAGATGGGACTAATGCCCCTTTTCTCTATCACTACTCAGAGTTATTAATCACACTAATCAGTAACTAAACCAGATTAAGATAATACAGATGATTTTGTGGACACAGCTGGATACAGCACAGATCACCTGACAAGGCTCACACAGACTCATGTGAGGAGGAAGGCATGCAGAGCATTTGGTCACATGATGGGTGCAATCCTACTACAGAGTGATTATGAGATAGTGTGCTTCTGCACACACAGCATCAGTCATCATGGCTGGAACCGTGGCATTAAACTACTGATGAAGAGTGCCCTCTCTCATAACACCCTGGCACAGGGAATATGCCAGCCCCATGACTTGTCTCATATGAGATGCCAGATACAGCTGGTCAGCAAGTAAGAAGTGAGCCAGGCTGGATGGAGTCTTGGGTGACATGCTTTAGTGTGACGTGTCCCTGCCCATGTCAGGGGGGTTGGAACTACGTGATCCTAAGGTCCTTTCCAACTCTAACTATTCTATGATTCTGTAATTCAGTGAGGACAATTGGCTGCATGTGGCACCAAGAGTCAAGTTGGAAAGAGGGCAGCTGAGCTACTGACCCGCAAAAACAATGCAACATTCAGAGATACAGTAAAATCCATCAATTTACCTTTTCTGCTTCTGCATTGGTAAGAATTTGGGGGTAGACTCTGTTAAGCTGAAGAATAATTTTATCAACTACTTGCTCATTCAGTCGGCTATTGCTTGTAAGAAAGTACATGTCGTGCTGGAGCCGATGACAATATGATTGATCTGCAGGTAAAATAATACAAAGAGCAAACCACAGCAGTTAGTTAGCAAGCCATTTTTTCTGTACATTTAATTTTCCTAACACTGGTTAAATAGCTAAAATAAAATTACCACCATCACATAATTTTAGAAAGCTGAAGTATCTGTTAGGGAACCAGAAGATAGCCATGTGCTTTCAAAAACCCATCCACTTCAAATGGCATACATCTGAATTCCTGGCTGGTCACTTATGCTGCTCTCTCTGTCCAGAGAGGGAAGGCTCTGAACTATTTAGGTGTCAAGCACTGATGGGATATTTAATCAAATACAGCCCTAAAGTTGTTAAATCACTGAAGATGAACCTTCTACCATTTATGGAGTCAGATGATGGAGGTTTAAACTGATGTGTCTTACAAATTTTTTGATGTAAATATGAAACCAGACACTGAAACAGAACTGGAAGATCAGGAACAGCATCTCTGCCAAAGAGCCATCAAGCTTTTTAGGGAAGGTCATCTGCCTTAACTTCTTACAGGAGTGGGGAGAAAAGGCAGTCCAAAAGCAGTACATTTTTGCCATGGAAGTACATTCAAATAAACATACAGTTAAAACACATCTTTCTCTATCAACCCAAACCTCTGCAAATACAGAAATCCAGACCTGCTGTTGTTTCAGGCACCCTTTCCAATTCAACAGCAATGGATTTTGCAGCAGCATAGCTTTCCCTATACCTCCTTTTTTATAGTACCTAGATTAAGACAGCGACAGACTGGTTCCACAGGTAACCGTGCCTTTACCAGATTTAGAAAGGGAGTGTCTATGACCCTGTCTGAAGTAAGTGCTAAAATGTCAGTACACCACTTTATAACCGAGCAGCATAGAAAACCAAACCAAACCACACCTGCACCGCACCCCCAGCACATTCCCCAAGTAAAACAACTGCATAGGTTTGTGGTATTTTGGCTACCAGAAAATACACAACCATTAGCCCTTTGTGCCTTGCATTTAGAGAAGGAAAGAATGAAGAAGAGTCAGGAAACTGCCATGATGCACTGCACCTATGCACAGCCCTTGCCCTTTCTGTACAGTGTTTGGGGGTTTTCCGTATTACACTGTCCTTTTTCTGTATCTTTGTAGCAGTAACAGTGTTTACAGGAAAGGGCTCAGGAAAACCTCCGGCTATGACCATGCACTAGTAACTTCTTCAGTGCCAATGTCACCCCTATTCAAACAAGAACACACAGCTATTGAGACTCTAAGAGAGCTGTGATTATATAGGCACAACAGCATTTCAGATAAATTCTTACTTTTTATACAAACATCATATTATTTCCACGTGTTTCTAATGCCTCGCTTTTCAACAGCTCACTGTTAGTGCAACTTTTTTGTGTACTGTTCCTGCCCTGACATACCTGCTGTGCAACCCCCTTTTGTTGCAAGAAGTTCCATGTCATCTGACTCAAGGTTGAGATAAACTTATCCTCTTCAAATCAATGCATTAGCATACACAAGAGGCTGTGTCAAGGACCAGGAAACTGTGAACTTGTGTCTGTTCATGTCCCTGCAGCTTCCTCCTCCTTCTCCATCTGCTACATGACTTGCAGTGATTCTCATCGTCACCAACACTGTACCTTCTGCAAACTTACAAAGAAAGTGCACTAAACCAGGGACTTATAGCTAGCAGAGCAATTAAACTTCAGATAAAGAACCCCAGCAAGTGCTGAAACCATGACAAAATTCTGGCAGGAGTATACAAAATAAAATAAAAGCAGGCTCAAAGTGTCATCTCCTTCCCTGGTTCTTGCTTTGCTGCTGCCTTGTCATTACTGATCCCCACATAGGCAGTGTGCACAAGCGTTAATTACACCAGTGAAATTAACTGTGACAACTGAAGATCACAATTATCCAAGAACATCTTCTGAGCAGTGAGGAGCACTCCATGTCCTCGTGGCACTTTCATTTACACATGCTTATTAAACCACCACCAGTCTTACCGAGGGCTTTGTGCTGCCATCTGAAACCTGGCTCCTGCTGCACGTCTAACGGGGCAGAAGCCTCTCTGGGATTTCAGGACTGGCTGCGTTTTCTTCCCATCTAAGCCAAAAGGCAGGAGAGGAGAATGAGACAATGCTCCTGGCCCCTCTGCCTACTGCTAAACTGTGCCTGCCATGGACAGGTCTTACATCTGGCTCAGGCATTTGCAAGAAGCTTCTCCCATCCTGTGGGATGCTCCATTTTTAAGAAGTATGGTTCTTCCACATTCCCAGAGTCACATTTTGCCTGCCTGCACTTTCACCTCCTCCAAATTACTTAAGTATTTAGGATGGGGTGCAAGGTTTAAAACTGCCAGAAGAGCAGTTCTCAAGCTCAACGCTAGCTCAATAAAACTAGAGCAGAAGAGTCTCACCCTTCAAGTACAGAATCACAGAACCATAGAATAGGTAGGGTTGGAAAGGACTTCAAGATCATGCAGTTCTATGGGCCGTGGGTTTAAACCACGACAACCTCCCACTAAACCGTGCCACCCAAGGCTCTGTCCAACCTGGCCTTGACCACCACCAGGGACGGAGCATTCACAACTTCCCTGGGCAACCCATTCCAGAGCCTCACCACCCTTACATTAAAAAACTTCTTCCTCATATCCAATCTAAACTTCCTCTGTTTAAGTTTTAACCCATTACCCCTTGTCCTATCACTACAATCCCTAGTGAAGAGTCCCTCTCCAGCATCCCTATAGGCCCACTTCAGATACTGGAAGGCTGCTCTGAGGTCTCCACACAGCCTTCTCTTCTCCAGGCTGAACAGCCCCAACTTTCTCAGCCTGTCTTCATACAGGAGGTGCTCCAGTCCCCTGATCATTCTCGTGGCCTCCTCTGGACTTGTTCCAACAGTTCCATGTCTTTTTTATGTTGAGGACACCAGAACGGCACACAATACTCCAGGTGAGGTCTCACGAGAGCAGAGGGGCAGGATCACCTCCTTCGACCTGCTGGTCACGCTCCTTTTGATGCAGCCCAGGATACGGTTGGCTTTCTGGGCTGCGACCCCACACTGCTGGCTCATGTTCATTTTCTCATCAAAATCTCACCTCTCTCTTCTGAAATCTTTTGTCTCTCCTCTGAGAAATCTCTGCTCAAACCACACAAGGGACTGCCTTCTGACAGACCAGAGGAGAGAACCTTCCCATCGACACTGGCGCAAAATTGTGCCTCAGCTACTAAGCTTAAAGAAAACAAGCAAAAAAGCCCCACCAGTCCTGGTGGCTGGATCGTGGACCCTGCTCCAGAGCGATAAGCATATCTGGAAAGCACATGTGCACATTTAAAGTCACCACATGATGATCTCAGGCACAGCCTGCCCCAGGAGCTTCAGCACCTTTGTTACGGCACAGACTTGCTCCAATGCACTGCCAGCCACGGCTTGGTTACAGGCATACAAACATCATGCCATGAGGTTTTATAATCACAGCGGTTTTTTAGTATTGAACATGCCCATCATTTATGTTTTAAAGTAAGAGAAACCCCAAATAAGGCAACTTCACAACCACTGCAAGGTTACTTGATGTGCTGTCACAACTTAAGAATCGAGGGAGTGGCTGTTTAGGATGTTTTGCATATTGACATTTTATCTCACTGCCTCACAGAGACAACAGTTATTGCAAGAAAAATGTGAAATCTTTACATTAAGAAGACTTTGTTTCCAAGCACAAGTCACCCCAGTATTAAAAGGACAGTGGTGCTGGCAGCCAACAGTTACTTAGAAAGTTCAGAACAGCAGTACTGGAAGACGAGGTCGATTAACCACAGCTTACAGTACAGGCATGACACTGGCAGGCACCAGGGCATCAGAGATTACAAAGGCACGCAGTGCTAGGACAAGGGGAATGGCTTTAACCTGCCAGAGGGGAGACTGAGATGAGCTCTTAGGCAGAAGCTCTTCCCTGTGAGGGTGCTGAGGCGCTGGCACAGGGTGCCCAGAGAAGCTGTGGCTGCCCCATCCCTGGCAGTGCTCAAGGCCAGGCTGGACAGGGCTTCTAGCAAGCTGCTCTAGTGGAAGGTGTTGGAAGGGGGTTGGAACTGGATAATGTCCCTTCCAACCTAAACCAGTCTGTGGTTCTGTGATTCTATAATTATTTATACCCCCAGACTGCACATGGGTATTATCTAACTCCAAATTTGTCATTTGATGTTACTGCAGTTGCACACTCTCCTCTGTCAGAACAACAATTTAACAAGGCTTTATCCTGTCCACATGTTTTGGATGCAGCTGCAGGTCTTCTCAAACATGCAGCTGCAGTCAAGGAGTTGGAGGGTTGGGTTGGACTGTGCTCAGTGAAGAGAAGCAGCAAATACAGCTGAGATTGGATACAATGCCACTTAAGCTTAAAAAAAAAAATGTCGGTACTTTCCTTGCTAAGAGGAACTGTGAACTTGTGAAAGAGACAGGAAACTCAAACAGCCTTTGACAGCCACGAGGAAAACATGACTAATAATTCCATGTTATTGACTTACAATTACTACAAGCCCGTTACACATCATAGACAACTGCTTTTTTCTCTCACCCAAAGTACAGAAGGCCTCTGGCATACAGCACATGCACACCGTGCTGACATACACAGCCTGCACGTAGCCACACATGGAAGGAAAGGAAGTACATGTATGATTAAGAGATATTAGAGAAAAGCAAGTGATTACTGGTTATTTGTAGCCAGCTGCTCCTCAGACAGAATAAAAGATATAAAATCAAGGATAATGACACTGCAAGCAGCAAATGACAGTAGCAAAGCAACACACATCATTTTTTACCTTCAGGCAAAAATCACCCTCACTGCAACCCTTCAGATAATGACACATCTCAATTGTTCTTTCCAAACAGGCAATTAGGTTTCTGGCAAGGGCTGCAGAATGACCCAGCCTCTATACTAAGGCTGACGAAATATATTCTGCTCATGGAATTAAGGCTCCCTGTAAAAGCCTCCTTCAATTTGCTGAGCAAACAGACAGGATCATCACAAGCTGATAAATTCAAATACAACAGACACAAACCCCGACACATCTCTCTGACATCTCTCAATTCTCCGTAACACCACACATAATTTGCAAACCTCCATTCCAGAAGCCTTACTGGTATGTGCTCTGCAATGCAAAAACAAGCTTTGGCTTCCTGTAAAGCTCCTAGATGATTTTCATTAACTTTATAAAGGTAAATTGACCTTGAAAGCTGCCATTTGCATGTGTCCATGCAAACTCCTTGCTGACGCCTCTCAGGTAAGAGCTTTAAAAAGTCTCTCTCAACAAAATGTTACCTTAACATAAATTTAATTTTTAGTTTTTCCCTTTCAAGAGCCCAAGAAAGGGAGGCTGAGGATTTAAAAAAGAATCTGCCTGCAAAGAAATGGTCTGAAATGATCAGATTGCACTGATTACCAAATGCACCCTAGATAACAGCAGCTGGTCTGCTCCTCTGGCCTGGAAGCAGTGATACAGAGGTGAAAGACAATGGGTCCCCTCCCTGGCTGCACTCACCCACTGTCACATGCTGGTGCTACCAGCAACTCAGGAACCAGAAGCTAAGTCTCTTACAGCACATTACAGAAACACACAATTGTTTAGATTGGAAAAGACCTTTAAGGCCATCCAGTCCACCTGTTAACCATCAGCTCAGCACTGCCAAAGCCACAACTAAACCATGTCTCAAGCACCACATCTACATGGTTTCTGAACACTTCCAAGATGGTGACTCAACCACTGCCCTGGGCAGCCTGTTCCAATGGCTGACAACTCTTTTGGTGAAGGAATTTTCCCTAATTTCCAGTTCAAACCTTTCCGGTGTAACTTAAAGCCATTTTCCCTCATGCTACAGCTTGTTACTTGGGAGAAGAGACCTACCACCACCTTGCTGCGACCTCCTTTCAGTTAGGTGCAGAGTTCTGTAACTCATCTTTACCTAAAATACGTTCTCAAAATAGAAAAAATAATAAAACAGTGAGCAAAATATTAAAATGTTCTTGATACTAGAATGTGACATTTGCTTACAGGCATTCCCAGTCCTCCGAGCTTTGTACAAAGGCAGCTCTGAGGAGAAGGACTTGGGGGTGCTGGGTGATGAGAAGCTCTCATGACCCAGGTTCATTGTGCGCTTCCGCCCAGATCCCCCCCCTCCTCACCTGCCACGGGTGCGGGGCTGCACCCCCAGAGTGTGAGCAGCAGCTCAGGGAGGGGAACCTGCCCCTCTGCTATGCTCTGGGGAGACCCCCCCTGCAGCCCTGATCCAGCTCTGGGGCAGCAGCACAAGAGGGACCTGGAGCTGTTGGAGTGAGTCCAGAGGAGGCCACAGAGATGCTTGCGAGGGCTGGAGCAGCTCTGCTCTGGAGCCAGGCTGAGAGAGCTGGGCTGGGTCAGCCTGGAGAAGAGAAGGCTCCTGAAGGGGAGACCTTAGAGCAGCTCCAGTGCCTGAAGGGGCTGCAGGAAACCTGGAGAGGGGCTTGGGACAAGGGCCTGTAGGGACAGGCCAAGGGGAATGGCTTGAACCTGCCCGAGGGGAGACTGAGCTGAGCTCTTAGGCAGAAGCTCTTCCCTGTGAGGGTGCTGAGGCGCTGGCACAGGGTGCCCAGAGAAGCTGTGGCTGCCCCATCCCTGGCAGTGTTCAAGGCCAGGTTGGACACAGGGGCTTGGAGCAACCTGCTCTAGTGGAAGGTGTGGTGTGGTATAACCCCCCCGTGGCAGAGGTTGGAGCTGGAGGCGCTTTAAGGCCCCTTCCAAAACAAACCGGGCCGGGATCCTATTAACACCACCCCTTCCATGTTGGGTAACGCTCTCGCTCTGTCACACACACACCCCCCCCCAACCGCGCTCGCTGGCCGCAGCACCCCAGGAGCGGCTCCCGTCCACTGCCGTGGCACCCACCGCCGTCCGGGGCGCCCGGCCAGGACGCCTGACTCCGCGGCGCTGCCCAGAACCGGCGACGACGCCGGGGGCTGCAGGGCCGGGTTCCTCTTCGCTACCGCCCGCTTGGGGCCGCTCCCCCACCCGGGGCCCAGGGGCAGGCCATGAGCACGCGGTGACAGACTCGCCTCGGAGCTGTCGCGCTGCCGGACCGAGCACGGGGCGCTGGCGGCACCAAACCCTGCGCACCACCGCCTCCAGCCGTACCCCCGCGGGGGCAGCGCCGCCGCCTCAGCGACCGACCGGCCCCCTCTCGCCCAGGCGGCCACGCTACCGCCCCCGGCCCTCCCCGCCGCACACTCACCGGCCATGGCGGCCCGGCCCGCCGGCGGGCTGCGGCCTTCCTGTGGGGATGGCGGCGGGGCGGTGTCCGGAGGAGGCGCTGCCGGAGGCTGCGGGAGGAGCGGAGCGCTAGGGGGGACGCCTGGGGCTTGCAGGCCGCGTCGTGGCGGGTCGGGCCTCGCCGTGGCAGCCCCGAGGGGTAAAACACGTTCGTCTGTAGCCATGCAACCACAGAACCACAGACTGGTTTGGGTGGAAGCGACCTTAAAGCTCATCCAGCTCTAGCCCCCTGCACCGAAGAGAAAGCCTGAGCCTTCTGTGCAGTTTGGAAGTATAAATTTACATTTGTGGGGTTTGAAGCAATCCATAGTTAGTGATGCTGCAATTTAATTTCCCACAAGTAATTTAACTGTTCAAAATACCCTGCCTGCATTTTTGCAATATCCCTGTGCAGCTTACAGTTTTATCCTGTGCTGCAGCCCTGTACCCTTCTTCTACGTGCTTGATATGTAAGGTAAATCTGACAGGTAGGTACTCACGTCCACAGAGCAGGGACACCTTCTCTCAGTCAGAGGAAAGCTTGTGGCGAAGCACCTAAATAATGTTATTGATACCAGGAAATGAAGGGTTAACATTGTGCCTGCTTGCTTAAGCAGTCGTTGTGCTTGGTGAAGCAGAACCGTAGGAGCCAAAGTTGCTACAATGGTGAAGCAGAATTGTAGGAGTTACAGCTGCTAGGCAGAACTGTAGTAGACCAGATTCATAGCTTAATATTTAAGACATTCTTGGTCAAATAGTATCCATAGAAAGAAAAGGAACAAAAGACAGCCAGAGTAACAAAATTTACAAACTTGACAAGTTTCTGCTTTAAGATACATAAAACCGGCTTGTACCAAACCTGAGATTTGGACAGGAGCCAAAACCCCATTGAGTCTGTGTGAAAGCAAGAGGTTACTCACGGTACTGAAGAGGAACTACAGGCCTCCATCCTCATGACCACCTAACAACCACCACCAGGAGGTACTGCACAAGCACACCAATGGGACGAATGCCAGAAAACGTAATACAAGGCGAGAATAGGTTTTGCATACATATTAAGCGTGAAGGAACAAACTGAGTGGCAAAGGGGGGAGCACATACTTTTGGAGGAGAAACCCCCATGCGCCTCAGCGCTGAATAAAGCATACCTACTTTACAGCTCTTAACGAGTTGTGGAGTCAATCCACGTATCATTATTACTATATTAACTTAACGAGGGAAGAAGTACAAGGAGATCCATGTGTTTGAAAATCTCCCATCTGCACAGAATTTCATCCACATTTAATTACTCGGTGAGGTATAGAAGATGAAACACCCTCCTGCTGAAGGGCAGCGAAGCTGAACCTTAGCTTTGCAAACTGTGATAAAGAGTCACATTATTTATTACTGCAGATTTTTTACTGCAAAGACTGGTATTTGTATAATGCATTTGGAAAGGCAGATTTCGAGTACAGCAAAGACACAGGGTGATCTATAATCATGGTTTGTCTTGAAGCCATGAAGAAAATGTTTGTGTTGAAGAGGGACAGAAATCTTCTGGAGGGATTAAAATCACAATAGGTAAACTGGTAGCAGACTGGTACGTAAAAGGCTTCAATTGCCCTCACACAGGCACCTCTTATTAAACCAGTTTGCCTGTCTTAGGAAGGAAGCCCCAAGCACAAAGGAAACTCAACCATTGCCTGGATGATCACTCATCCACAAGAGTTTGCCCTGTTTTGCCTCCATGCCAGCTCAAACCCAGCATGTGGAAAAGCTGTACCAGTATCCTGGGACTGGTTAAACGAAAACAAAACATCTGGCCCCTTGGAGTGATGCATGTCTTGCAAACATGTAGCACCAAAGCTGGAGTCAGAAGGTCCTGGCTGACAGGCTGGGACTTCTCAAGCCAGCAGGGAAGGCACCAGTTACCAAATGGAAGGTAAGAAAGGGTTTGGTGAGGGTGTGACTTTGCGCTTGGATACACGCCGCACACTCTCATAGGAGAGACAGGTCCAGCGAGCCTGGGAGTTTAAAACAGTAACACAGACTTTGCTTGCAGTTTGTGAGGGCTAGCACTTGGTGGTCTCACGGAGGGATTTCATACCCAGCACAACCCCAGCGGTGGTGCTTGGGGAGTGGCAGGGTGCTTCTCGCACGCCCCGCCCAGGGCAGTATTTCACTAGCAGGGTTAACCAAGCAGTCCTGAAGCTGTCTTCTGGATAACTTGTCTGATACCTCACCTTTGTTGCTAGTGGGTGCCCCTCCCTGCCAGGGTGAAGCTTCTATCTTGGCATAGCTCTCCAAGGAGAGCTGCATCCCACCCCAGGGCCATGTCACACACCACTGTGCTCTCCATGCAGGGTCTGAGGAGCTCATCGTGGAGACCCTCCGGGTGAGCACAGCCAGCACTACAGTAACACACACCATGATATGCACCTACACCAAGTACTCGCTGCACTTCAATTTCAGTACTTAAAACAGGCCTGTAAGAAAGATGGGGAGAGACTTTTCAGCAGGGCCTGCTGCGACAGGACGAGGGGTAATGGTTTTCAACTAAAAGAGGGGACAGTCAGGCTGGACTTGAGTAGGAAATTGTTTACAATGAAGGTGGTAACACACTGGGACAGGTTGCCCAGGGAGGTGGTGTATGCACCATCCCTGGAGACATTCAGTGCCAGGCTGGATGTGGTTTTGTGCATGATCTAGTTGAAGATGTCCCTACTCACCGCAAAGGAATTGGACTAGATGAGCTTTGAATGTTCCTTCCAACCCAAGCTATTCTATGATTCTATTATTAACAAATGAGATACTTGCATCCCCACGCTTCTTGAAAATGTTGGTTTGTACCTCCATACTACAAATGAAAGCAGTTTCTTTATGTCTAGAAAAGTGTAAGAAAATGGGTAAAAAATGCATAGCAACATTTTTAGTATTGTCAAATGCTGTGACATTTATGGTGTGTGTCCTTGGGAAGATGAATAAACATCCTGAGTTTACCCTCAGGAATCCAGATCTTCCCAACAGCATGAAAATAGATCTTTCAGTTACTTTTATTGCACATGGAAACCTTGATCATGCCTGTATCAGCATGATTTTTGGCAATGTACTGTAGTAACAGAAACAGGCACCTTGTGGAAAGGAAATTGCCATTTTGTAACTCCTTTTATCATACATTTTTAAGACTGTTTCATCTGTATATTAAAACAGTGCAGCAAGAGGTGTTGCCTAGTACTGAGAAGCAGTATGGCATGCTGGGGATTTGTTTTCATGCCATTGTGAATTCACTGCAATTTGTGCTCCTCTGAAAAGTTCACTACCAGAATCTAAACCACAAAACTGAAAAACTGTTTTTTTTTAAAGAAAAATCTTAATGTGACACAGACTGAAATCTCTAATACAGATCTTGAATGTTTTTTAGCAGATGGCATTTCTGAGCACAGCAAGTGAAATGGAAGTGAAAATAAATCATTCCGGAGAGCTGCCGGTGTGCAGCGCCATGCGCCACACTGCCTGGAGATATTTTTGTCCTATGGACTTAGGTAATGACAAGTCAGGGGTTAAATATATCTCCTTGTGCCCACGGCACACAAGACTGTATTGCTGTCTGGTTTGCCTTGGAAAGAGAGATCTTAGGGAAGTCACACGGCCACTGCAGGAGGAACATTCATCTGCATACATGGGGCACGTCCCCAGGGAGACACTTACTTGGCTGAAGGTGGGCCACCAAATGCCTCCCATGGAATGATCCATGACATTCAGTGCACACAGCTGGTTAGAGGGCACACACTTGCTACTGGTAAAAGCAATGAGTGTGTATGCACACAGCACTCCAAAACCCTTACATGGTTTGAGGCGAATGGTGCTGAGTCTGAAACTGCCCACAGACTGAGCGGCACTGTGCGAAGCCCCTGCTTCCTGCTGATGGGAGGCAGAGCTCCATTCTGAACTTGGTGATTCAGTTCAGATTTCTCTCTCCTAATTTAGTGGCTGAGCTGAGTGTCCTCCCTATGGGTATTTTTTTTCTAAAGGACAGCAGTTGTATTTCCTGGTTAGCTGAATTCCAAAGTGCTGTTTCCTCCCTGCTGAACCGGCCATTTGTTTACTTGAGTGAATGATTTGATTTACTAAATATTACCCTTCTACTGGCAGCACAGGCACGTAGTGTTTTCTTGTTCTATCTGTTAGTTGTTAAATCACAATATGGTTTCTTGTTTTCCCACAGCTGAAGAGGACTGGATCTCTTTAGCAACAAATTAAATCCAGATAGTGCATGCAGTTCCTTTAACAAAGTATTTCTTTGTGTCTAAGAAAATACAATGAAATATGGCTTAAAAGCTCCGATTACACACTGAGCTCCCTTCAGCAAGTTTTAGCTAATCGCTTATAAAAACTGACTCTTAGAAGAAAAAAACATAGGGAAGGCAGCGACTGGGTGGGCACTCCCGTCGGAGCCGCTGCCGCTCCTGCCTGCGCACTGCTGTTTCTGCAGATTGGGACCTTTCAGAGCAGTTGTTTCGCCCACGTTCCTCGTTACTAGCACGCACTTACATGTCCGGTAGAACATGGTCCATAGGTCTCACGGGTCCGCGGCGTGCGCGGTGCCCGTGCAGCCGGAGCGCCGTCCGCCGTGCCCGCAGGAGCAGAGGTCACTGCCGCCCGCCGTGGAGAAGCGAAAGTCAAGGGGAGGCAGCGGCTCCGGCTGTGCGGAGGCGGCGGCTGCCGCCCGGCGCGTCCGGGTCACGGCTCCTGCGTGGCGGCTCCTTCCAGCAGCGGTGTGCTGGGGTGTTTAAGGGACGTGTCGTCCCCCTGAAACCCAAGATGCTGGTTTACTCAAAGGCATGGGATGGAGTTGGGGGGGTTGTTTGTTTTTTGGGTTTGGTTGTTTCTTTGTGTTTTTGGTTTGTGGGGGGGTTGTGTGTGTGTGCTAATCATTCTTAGGATTGCTTTGCATAGAGAATAGGCAATTTTCTAGTCTTCTTTATATAGTCATAGTATTACAGTTGGTATTCTAGGACAAGGGGAATGGCTTGAACCTCCCAGAGGGGAGACTGAGATGAGCTCTTAGGCAGAAGCTCTTCCCTGTGAGGGTGCTGAGGTGCTGGCACAGGGTGCTCAGAGAAGCTGTGGCTGCGCCATCCCTGGCAGTGTTCAAGGCCAGGTTGGACACAAGGGCTTGGAGCAAGCTGCTCTAGTGGAAGGTGTCCCTGTTGAACTAGAT